GCACAGGTGTGTACAGTGAGGGGCAGTGGTGCAGGGGTGCACAGTGAGGGGGCGGGTGCACAGGTGTGTATAGTGGGGGGACGGGGGCACAGGTGTGTACAGTGAGAGGAGGTGGGAGCACAGTTGTGCACAGTGAGGGAGTGGGCGCACAGGTGTGTATAGTGGAGGGACGGGGGCACAGGTGTGTATAGTGAGAGGGGGTGGGGGCACAGGTGTGCACAGTGAGGGGTGGGGGCGCAGGTGTGCACTGTGAGAGTGGGCAAGGGCACAGGTGTGCACAGTGAGGGGGCGAGGGCACAGGTATGCACAGTGACACAGAGCAGTGGGCATAGCTGTGTGCAGTGAGAGGCGCCAGTGGGCACAGGTGTGCACTGTGAGAGAGGACAGTGGGCACAAGTGTGCTAAGTGGGTGCTGAGGGGACAGAGGGCTCATGTGTGCCCGGTGGACGATGAGAGGGCACTGGCGAGGGCCTGGGTCTGGCCTGGGGGGCAGAATCCAAGGGCTCAGATTGGAGGTAGCAATGTCAGGGGCACATCCACAAGACAGGACATCTTTTTAGAGTCACAGTAGACCTGCTGCCTCATTTAAAATTCAGTCTTTAATTATGACAATCTCATTTAATCTTGAATTGCACATCCATCACTGTTTCTGAGATGGTAGATTTCTCGATGCTCATTTCCTGCCTCCGAGTCTGTTGCTGATGTTTTCTATTCATACGGAGTTCCTAAATGACCATCGTTAGTTTTCTTTTCTGGAAAGCTTGCAGTCCTCTTCCAAAGTCCAGTCTCAGTGTCACCTCCCCTGGGATGGGCTCCTTGTCCCCTCTAAGCAGAAGAGGCCACTGCCTCCGCTGTGCTCCCCAAGTGCTTGGTTCTTGCTTTTATTATTAAGTGAAGGATGGTGCATAAAATGATCGCTACCCCCACACCCGCCACTGCTTAGCTGAGAGCAGGGACTTGATAAACGAGAGTTATTCCCCTTTCTCTCATCGCTTTGTGCATGGGGCTGTCTCCCCTGGACCAGTCACTGATTCTCTGGCCAAGGGCCTGGCAGTAGCCATGTGCCCTGGGGCTCACCTGGCATCCTGGGGCTCTGGTTCCAGGTTACCATCTGGAGCCACACAGCATCCGACCCTTCCAGCTGGCAGTGGCGCAGAAGCTCCTCTCCCATGTGTGTTCCATTGCGGATTCCAGCACCCAAAATCTGGACCTGGGATCCTTTGAGAAGGTGGACTTTCTCATTTGCATTCCGCCCTCAGAAGTGACCTACCAGCAGACTCTGTTCCACGTGTGGCATTCAGGTATGGGATGTTTCGGGGAGAAGTCACGTGGCCTGTGTGGAGAAGCTTTGATCTGCCGAAATCCGTGTTTGGGTGTTGACACTGTTCTTTGCTATAGAGTGGATGGGGCAAGGATCGTTGCCCTTGTTTTATAGGTTGTGAAACCTACGTTCAGAGACAGTGACTTGCCCAAGATTTTAGGATCTGCTGAAGGTAGAGTCGAAACTTGAGCTTTCACCATGTCCCACTCAGGCTAGTGACCCAACCATGTGTTGCTATCTAGCATCACTGATATCCTTGTACTTTCAAGGATATCGTATTTAACCACAGAGTACACAGATGTCCAGTGTCTTCACTGAAAAGGCTTACTCTTTAGTGGCGTAATGTGTAGCCCTGTGGCGTTCAGACTGAGAGAGGGATTTTGCTGCCGGCAGGACCTTTCGGTTCCCTCTGTCTTACCATGCTTGGGATCAGCTGCTTCGTGAAGCCGGTGCCCTAGGGAGGGCTGCTGTACACACAGCCAAGGCTTGCCTGTGCCCCAGCTCCTGGGCAGGACAGTTACGCAGCTGTAACCTGTGTGGGAGTTTTTTCCCTCCCTTTCCCTACTCTCGCATCTCTGGGTCTAGCTCAGGACCTGCTGTATAGGAGTCGCTCATCAGGTGTCTGTTGAGTGAATGGAAACCAGGGGGCATGTTGGGAGTTACTGATATATTTCCATTGTGTTGCAGGGGTTTTACTGGAGCTTGGTCTGGAGAAAGAGCACATGACGAAGCAGAGGGTGGAACAGTATGTCCTGAAGCTAGACGCGGAGGCACAGACAAAATTTAAGGCTTTTCTGCAAAACTCCTTCCAGAACCCGCACACACTTTTTGTCCTCATCCATGACCATGCGCACTGGGATCTTGTGAGGTTAGATTGACTTGATATATGACAGGTTGACATTTTCCTTCCTTGAAACGACATATGTGGATGTTCCTGGGGGCTGAGGGTACAAATCCTGAAAAGATGGATGATGTTTGGGCTTGGTGTTTGTAAGCAGGTGCCATGGATGTTTTCCACAATCTTGAGCTGGAAGTTATCTCAGGGATTCTCTAGTGCCACCTCTGAAATTTACCATAGTGGAATCTAATGGCTGGAAAAGGGAAGCGTGTGTCCCAGAGTCACAGGGCGGGGTGGAGTGGGAGGGTGTTAGTGGCAGAGTCGAGGCCCTCGAATCACAGCCTGATGCCTGATGTGTTTCTTTCATAGTCCACTCAGCCCCAAGGAGCCATGCTGGTGTGGGGTGCAGAGGGTCCTAGCAGGAGTTGCTTAGCTTCGCCCTTCCCTGAAAGAGGCTCTGTGGGCTCCAGTACCGTGGGTCACCACTGATGCTTGCCCTTTTTTTTTTTTTTTTTTTTGAGATGGAGTCTCGCTCTGTTGCCCAGGGTGGAGTGCAGTGGCGCGACCTCGGCTCACTGCAAGCTCAGCCTCCCGGGTTCATGCCATTCTCCTGCCTCAGTCTCCCAGTCTCTCCTGCAGCTGGGACTACAGGCGCCTGTCACCACGCCTGGCTAATTTTGTTTTTATGTTTTTAATAGAGATGGAGTTTTACTGTGTTAGCCAGGATGGTCTCGATCTCCTGACCTCGTGATCCACCTGACTCGGCCTCCCAAAGTGCTGGGATTACAGGTGTGAGCCACCGCACCCAGCCGATGCCTGCCCTTCTTAAGGGGTGATTTTACTTACTATGTTAAAATGAACATAAACATGAATTTCAGATGGGCCAAGCCAAGCATCTGGCAGGATTTCTGGTGGTTTAGCAGGATTGGTCATCTCTGTGAGACTGGCCTAGGAGTTGTGCGCTCAGACATTTCCTCTGATGTGGATGAGGAAGGAGGGGGCTCCTGGACCAGGTCATGGAGAAACCTTTGATTGTCACAGATCCACAGATAGCTAGTTAGGGCTGGTCAGGACCTGAAGGATCACCTCGTAATGGGTTTACAATCCAGAATTCATGTATGGGCTTGGGGGAGATTGGAACATTCCGAAATTATAGAAAGAGCTATATTGTGAATATTCATTTTGGGAGTAGGTTTCTCAGAGTGGCCTCCTGCCGTCCAAAGGGTTAAGCACTGATTTTTTTTAATCCCCTAGACTTATAGGAGAGAATGCAAAGGCCTTTGTCCCACAGAGAAGTGCAGAGCTGGGCCTGTCTCCCAGACCCCTTGTCCAAAATGCTTCCCAATCCTCTCCTGCTGCCTTTTAAACTGACTCTAGAATCTACTCTTTTATATCTTTTCCGGATCGTTTCAAGGTCAGAAGGACTTTGTAAGGAGATAAGTACACAATCAGATGGGTCCAAAGAGGAACAAATGATTCATGGAACATTCTCGGGGACACATCACTGATCGGGATAGAAGGAGTGTGTGTCTTATAAGAAATCCTCTCTGACTACCGTCCCCCGCCAGACACATTTTTCCTAAGTTATGAGTCTCAGGAGAGTCCCTGACAGCTACCTGCACTCCAGCCATTTTTTTCTCTATTCCTAGTCATGGGCAGAGCCATAATCTTCAATTGTTGGCAAAGTCGGGGGTTCGTTATACATTTATTCAGCTGCTTCACCCTTGCAAAATTAGAAAACAATATAGTAATTCAACTGATTGTGTCTTTTCCTCCCTCAGTAGCGCTGTTCATAACCTCTATTCTCAAAGTGACCCGTCGGTGGGATTGGTGGACCGATTGCTCAACTGCAGGGAGGTGAAGGAGGCCCCTAACATTGTGACACTTCACGTGACCTCCTTCCCGTATGCACTGCAGACACAGCACACCCTCATCAGCCCCTACAATGAGATCCACTGGCCCGCCTCCTGCAGTAATGTGAGTGCCACGGGGCTGCTGGGCCCTTGTGTAGCAATGACACTTGGGTTTGCAGAAATTACATTTAGTAAAAGCCTTGACCAATGTGGTTGAGGATAATGGGTTCCAGCTCCTCGGATCTTTGGTTTAACCCAGAGTTAGGTGTAAATCCTTCTTGGTCTTTTTGGAAACCTTCCTGCATTATGCCAGTTGGCCTCCTCATCTCGGAAGATGTAATGCAGTTTGTGTGACATTTCCTCTGGTGACTGCAGCTTTCTGAGCAGCATTCGGAATGTTTGTTCTATGGCATTGAATGGAGATATCGAAGGTAGAGCCCTTGGGGGTTGGGGACTTCGGGCTCCATACAGAGCGATGCTCAATGTCTCTAGAAGCCCTAGGAAGGTTCCTGTTTTCCTATCCCTGCATCCTTGAGTAGTGAGATGCAGAATCTCCTTCCTCAAACTAAACACATATCCTCAAAACGTGGTGAGTTTTTAGCTTATCACCTGGCATTTTCTCATCAAAATAGAAGACTAAAACAATTCTGGTAATTGGAGAATTCTGGGTGGTTTGTAGTTAGTTACACAGGAATAAGTAAAGGTAAAAGATGAGACTTATTTGGAGTGCCTTGCAATCCTCTGAGGAACTTAAAAAAAATACCTGGCTTTTGTCCTGTGCACCGAGAATCCGTGGTGGCAATAGCCATTGTTCGTAAGGCACTTCCCATGAGCCAGGGAGGCCCTGCCCAAAGTGCTTCCTGCTGTGAGCTCATGCAAGAGGCAGGTGCTAGGATGAGTTCTCATCTACAAATGGGGAACATGAGACAGAGAACGTTGGGCCACTTGCCTCAGGCCAGGCAGCTAGAAAGTCATGGAGCTGGGATATGACCCAGGCCACTGGCTCCTTGGCTCAGCCCTTAACCACTGTGCTGTTTAGGGTGTTTAGGGGTAGAGTTTTCATGCCTTTGTGTTTTCAACAAATTCCCCCAACTTTGGAATTTTATGTCTGTGTGTGTGAAATTGGCTAGATAAATGTTTTCTTCATCTTCTGATTTTTAGTAGCAACTGAATGCAAGATAATTGATTTGCTTATTCCTAAAACCAGCTTAAGATTGTAGAAAGAAGCAAATTTAACAAAGACATTTATATGTTAAAATAAGATAAGGCTGGTTTTCTTCTTGGTGAAGACATTGGGACCGAATGAATGGAAAACTCCTGAGCGATGGGGACACACCATTTTTAAAGTATGGCAAGTTCTTTGCTCTGCTTCTGCAGGTGGGAGAAGTCTATAAAATGCCATTCAAGCCGCTGCACAGTAGGCACAATTTAGATGAAGTTGCCAACCCAGGTCGTCCGCAGGCCTGGCACGTGAACCTCTGGCCGTCCCCGCAAATGCAATGTTGGAGTGACTGATGCTCTTCTTTGTTTTAGGGAGTGGACTTATATCATGAGAATAAGAAGTACTTCGGGCTGTCGGAGTTTATTGAATCCACCCTTTCAGGGCACAGCCTCCCCTTGCTCAGATACGACAGCTCCTTTGAAGCCATGGTCACTGCATTAGGAAAAAGGTACTTGTTTCTCTTCTCAGTTACTAGAAGTGCTCAGTAGCTTAAAGGGGAAGTCAAGGTGCATTTAGCCAGCCAGGGAATTCCAGGAAGGGAGACCTTTCCTTCCGGGGTGACTCAGTTTCTCCATGAAATGTACCCTGGTGTTTTGCTTCTCCTGTGTTTGAATCCCTTTGGGTCAGTGATATCTTTGTCATGCTGTTGCTCTAGAAAATTTTAGAGAGGACAGTGAGCAGAAATATGCTGGAATATGGAATGATGTTTTCGAACCAGTGGAGGGTAGGAAAATGGGAGGAAGATAACAAAGCTTTAAAAGAAACTGCATTGATGATCACAGTCTGCTTTGTTTTTATTTCCGATGCGTATCATTTATTGAATGTTTATTTTGTGTCGTTGACTCTTCCGTGGACTTTACTGTCATTATCTGATTTGATCCTCACTGCCTCTCTGAGCCAGTTGCTACTGTTATCCATACTTTGCAAATGAAGATGCTGAGGCTTGGAGAGGCCCCATAGCTCTCTCAGGCCACGTGTCTAGCAAGTGACAGAACTGGGTGAGAACCCAGAGTCACTCTGACTGCACAGCCAGGCCTTTTAACCCTGTTGCAACAGACCTCATTTTATACATGAAACTGAGGCTCAGACAGGCTAAGTGATTGCCAGGTACTACATGGTTTATTCGTGGTAAAGCCAGGCCAAGTTTTATAGACGATCTAATGCAAAGGAAAATGCCACTGAACAAAATACCACTGATTGTCAGAATGAGCTGGTCTCTACCCGCTTTTCTTATTGAACCTCAATCTTCTCATTTGCAGACAAGGGATGAAATTAGACATATCCTTCTCAAGCTATGTTCCAAGGTATACTGCTTTGGCTGGATACTAATAGTTGCTAAGCGTAAAGCGGTTCCATGGTCAAACGTGTCTGAGAAACATTTAAGGAAAGGACTTCTTTTCCACGAGAGTTCGTGGAGCCTTCAGCACATCCATGCATGCTATAATTCTCCAGAAGGCTAGAGATGTGTCCAGTAGCTCATGGGACTAGAATTTCCCAGAACACTCTTGGAGAAACTAAATATCTTAGATACTATTCAGTTCTATGATACTGACAGAAATTAATCAGGTCAGTTCTCCAGCGCGTGGGTCGACAGCTGAGCTCTCATCAACTTGCTGCATGAAGTTGCCCTCCAAGATTTCAGAGGCAAGAAAACCGGCCTTTGCCCTTCCTCTGCTTCTCCTCAGGCGGTGAGCACACGTGATGTGCTTAGTATGTTATAGACACTGGGCTCAGTGCTCTACATTTATTACCTAAAATAATCCTCACAGTGACACAGTGAGATAGGAAATACTATTATCCCCCTTTTTCAGATGAAGAAACTGAGACTTAGAGAAATTGGCCACTTGTCCAAAGTCACATGGGGGGTTTATAGTGAAACTGGACCCCAGCCCTGCTTCCTTGGCTCCAAACCCACGTAGCCACCAAGCCATACTGACCAAAAGCTCACAGCTAGTAAAGGATAGGCTGTGACCACCATGCCAGTACCTCTTGGTTTGCCCTCTGTTAGTTTTAACCTTGGCAAATCATCTAACCTGTCTAAACTTCTGTGCCCTCACCTGTAGAACAAACCCACCTTCCTAGCAGCTTCTTAGAATTTCCTGAGATACTGTACGTACGCACATTCAGTAACAGTTGCATGCTGAGAGCTCAGGCTCCAAAATCATCCTTCCTGGGTTTGAATCCTGAATCTGCCATTAACCAGCTGTGAGACTTTGAGAGTTTCTCCATTTTCTTTGGGGATGATAACACCTACATCATAGAGATACTGTAAGGATTAAATGGATTCACACACGTAAAGCACTGGAAACAGGGCCTGACACACATTACATGCTCCTGTTGGCTGCGAGCACCACCACCTCCACCACTGTCACCATCATCCTCCTGTCTTCTCCCTCCCCCTCTGCTAAACTAGAAGCATTGCAGAGATTCAATCTTACGTCTCACTGGGTGAGAAGAGACTATCAAACCCTGGAATGTTGAAGTATGGAGAATCACAGGAACTTCTAGGAATTATTTGGCCCAATCACCTCATTTTATCATTGTGGGAACTGAAGCCCGGAGTGGGACCGTGATTTGCCTGAGCTCATGCAGCCTGTTGGTGGCAACATGGACTGCAGACAGGTTCGACATCTTTCCACCATACCGTACTGCCTTCACTAGGAATCATTTGTCTGGAGAATGCCCTTGAAACTGGTAATTTGAACAGAAGGAGATAAAGGTTAGAACATGGGGTTACTGCCTCTTGCCACCGTATGTGTGGCCAGACTGTTAGTCCTCCATGTGTCACAAACGCCAGCATACGGCTGGGAAAACTGCTTATAGGACTGTCAGTTGGACACAAACCTACTATAACTTAAAACCAAAAGATCTAGACCTTTGACAACTCCTGTTTTTGTTCTAATGTATTGTCTGTGGAACCTCTTTCCTTCAGTACCCACCACAGAGGCTTAAGGGTGGGCGTAGTTCTCTGCTGAGCCACAGCTAAGGTACATTTCTGTGCCCTACCTGAGGGTGGTGTCTGGAGCTGGGCACCAGAGCCTCTTTCCAATGCTTATCTTTTTTTTTTTTTTTTTTAACACGGCAGCTTTAATGGAGAATAACTGACAGCCAGTAGACCGTACATCCTTTCTTTTCTTTTTCTTTTCTTTTTTTTTGGGACACAGTCTCACTCTGTCGCCCAGGCTGGAGTGCAATGGTGTAGTCTTAGCTCACTGCAACCTCTGCCTCTGGGGTTCAAGCAATTCTTCTGCCTCATCCTCCCAAGTAGCTGGGATTACAGGTGCCTGCCACCACACCTGGCTAATTTTTGTATTTTTAGTAGAGATGGATTTTCACCATGTTGGTCAGGCTGGTCTCGAACTCCTGACTTCATGATCCACCCACCTCAGCCTCACAAAGTGCTGGGATTACAGGCGTGAGCCACCACGCCCAGCCACGTATATTTAAAGTATTCAGTTTACATTTTGATCCATGTATAGACTGGTAAAATAGTCACCACAAGGTAATGAAAAAAGTTTTCTCCTGCCCCTTTGTAATTCCTTCCTCCTGTCCTTTTCCCACTGTAGAAATGTAGTTTGCATTTTCTAGAGTTTTATATAAACGGAATTATACAATATGTACTCTGTTTTTGGCCCGGCGTCTTTCACTGTGTATAATTATATTGAAATTCATCCATGTTCTTTTATGTATCAATAGGTTGTTCCTTTTCACTGCTGGTGTTCTAGAATAGAATACTATTGTATGGCCATACTAGTTTGTTTATTTACTGGTTAAGAGGCATTTAGGTTGTTTTTCAGTTTTGGCTGTTACAGATAAATGTGCTATGAATATTCATGTACAAAGCTTTGTATAGACATATTCTTTCACTTTCCCTGGGTAAACACCTAGTTGTGAAATGGCTGGGTTACTTGATAGGTGTATGTTTAACTTTTTAACAAGCTGCCAAATTGTTTTCCAAAGCATAGCTGTCACTTGGTATACATGGAGGGTTAATTCCAGAACTGTCCCCCACATACCAAAATCCATGCATACTCAAGTCCCATGGTCAGCCCTCTGGAACCCACATGTAAACAAAAGTCAGCTTTCCATGTCCGTGGTTTTCATGTCTAGAAAATACTGTATTTTTGATTTGCATTTGGTTTAAAATCCATATACAAGTAGACCCTTGCAGTTGTCAAATCCATCTTATTCAAGGGTCAACTGTGGTTCATTTTACATTCCCATCAGAATTTCAGTTGCTTTACATCTTTGTCAGCACTTGGTATGGTCTGTATTTTAAATTTTATTCTTTCTAATAGGTATGAAGCTGTAGCTCGTAATTTTAATTTTAATTTCTCCAGTGACTGATGATGTTGAACATCTTTTCCTATGTTTATCTGCCATTTGTGTATCATCTTTGGTGAAGTGTCTGTTGATAAGTTGACTCCTTTATTATTTTCAAACGACCCAAAGAATATTATTTATAGCTCTATAGTCTCTTCTGATATTAATATAATTATTCTAGTTTTCTTTTGACTAGTGTTACTATAGATTATAATTTTTTATCCTTTTACTTTGAGCATGTTTCTCTTTTTGTGTTTAAACTTGGTTTCTTGTAGGCAGCTTATAGTTGAGTCTTACTTTTTTTATCAAATGTGACAATCTGCCTTTTAATTGATTGCTATTTGATTTTAGTTTCATTATTATTATTATTATTATTTGAGATGGAGTCTCACTGTGTCGCCAGGCTGGAGTGCAGTGGCACGATCTTGGCTCACTGCAACCTCCGCCTCTCAGATTCAAGCGATTCTCCTGCCTCAGCCTCCTGAGTCGCTGGGATTATAGGCACACACCATCATGCCCAGGTAATTTTTGTATTTTTAGTAGAGACAGGGTTTTAACATGTTGGCCAGGATGGTCTCGATCTCCTGATCTTGTGATCTGCCCGCCTCGGCCTCCCAAAGTGCTGGAATTACAGATGTGAGCCACCGTGCCTGACCTATTATTATTTTTTAAAGAAAGAATCTTTTAGGGCTGTTGCCCAGGCTGAAGTGTGGTGGCATGATCATAGCTCATTGTAACCTCAAACTCCTGGGCTCAAGCCATCCCCCCATCTCAGCCTCCCAAATAGCTGGGACTACGGGTGCATGCCACCATGCCTGGCCAATTTTTGAAAATTTCTTTTGCTCTATTGCCAAGGTCTTGAACTCCTTGCCTCAAGTGATTCTTCTACCTTGGCCTCCCAAAGTGCTGGAATATTTTAGTTTCTATTGCTGTGTTTTCAAGTTTATGAGTCTTATTTTCTATGTTATCTAATCTGCTGCCAATTTCATCCAGTATGTGTGTGTGTGTGTATTTATCTTACAAAAGCACAGTTTTATAAAAAGATTCCTAAGAGAAAAAAGACAATTTCAGGTGTCACGTGCATTGATGTACATACACATTGATGATACATAGTTATTGTGTTTA